ATTGTATAATTTCAAATAATTGCATCAACTATATTTCGTATATATCATTTCCACATGAAACTGTATATATTGTATATATGTTCGGTTTTACAAATTATTATATTTCATCTTATTTTTATGTATATGTTTATATTTATCGTTTATTATTTTCTGTATCCCTGGGAAAGAACTTATATAGGCTTTGCCTGTTGTTCAATCCGTTTCAACTAAACTATAATCATAATGCTTAACCAGTGTCAAACATATACCGTGGGTCCGATGTGCTACAAATCGACTCGAGCATGTTCCATACAGCCCTATATTACTCGGCAGCACTGGGAGTTATCGCCCCCACCCCCATCCCCCGCCGTACACTGACACATATAGATATTGCTTTTTGTGGAGTCTTGTTCCTCAATCAAAATCATGGGTCACCACGCCCCTGCAGTGGCGGCGCCAGCCGTCGGTGATTGGAGGGGCAAAGTTGGGACAAAGTCCAAGGTTAAGGGGGCAAAGGCACGAGCTTCAACTAGGGGTAGGGGGCCTTCCCCAGAAATTTTGAAAAACAGGTTGCCGGAAATGCAGCCTGGCAGTATTTCAGGCACTGATCGATGAGGTAAAGTGTCAAACGAACGGACTTGCGAATCACGACGAAGCCCACTCAAAAGCGTCAAAGCAGGGAGTCCTCCCCCAGAAAATTTTGAAAAATAGACTGCCGGAAATGCTGTCTTACAGTATTCTGTCAGGCACCGATCGTCGAGATAAAATCTGCCCAGATACCGTTCGTCGCCTGATCACTAGTTTATATCCGAGAACAAAATGTCAAAATGAAATGAAATGAAATGGAGTTTAACGTCCTACTGTTCTGCTCCTAACCTGGGCTAATGAAGACGGGCATACGCCATACAGTGTGCTATGAGGGAAATTTTGCCCGGACAGCGGCACTACGGCCTACTCTTATATCGAATTCCAACTGCCAAGAGATCTTTTACGTGCACGCCAATGTGTACACGGGACCTCGGTTTTTCGTCCCATCCGAACGACTAGACAGCTTTCCTTGTCAGGCCCTCCGTCCTGCATCACTGACAAGGGGAAACCACGCCGGAAAATCTGGATGAACTTTCTCGACCAGTGCAGGGATCGAACACCCGACCTCCAGGCTAGCGAGCTAGCGTCTTACCCACTTAGCCACGTGATCCCCGAACAAAATGTCAAAGTCAAACGAACGGACTTGCGAACCTCAACGAATTCCCCTTGTGAGCGCCAAACTAGCGAGTCCATTGGGGACCTCGCCAAGAACATTTTGAAAAATAGACTGTCGGAAATGCTCTGCAACATCCAAGTTTATGACTGAGTGGGGATGTGGGATTTATTCACCGTAGAAGGTATTGATTACCGAAACGTATCACAAATACTTTTTTTTATTTTCTAAAATTATTAGGGGGGGGGGGGGCAAACAGAGGGCAGACCAGATTAATGGGGGTAGGGGGGCGCCGCCACTGCGCCCCTGACGGCGGTATATATAACTTTATTAAAATATTGTACAAAAAGTTTATGCAAGCCCTTTAAATATTTTAAATAATCTCTTTGTAAGTCCAAATCATTTAAGTGACATAAATGATGATCCGCCAACGTTACCATTTAATGATTTTTTTTTACATCGTGATTACGGCGTGATATAACATTTTCTTGCGTCAAAAAAGCACCGGGATATGATCGCTCCAATAACTTTTATCTTAAAATATTGTACAAAAAGTTTATGCAAGCCTGTAACAAAACTTTTTAAAGTAGCCCGTCGTCATTTTCATGTTTGGGACAAATTATTCATGGCTTAATCAACGCTAAAATGTGCTCATATTGATTATTGAACAAAATCTCTGCGGTAGATACCCTCCCAGCTTGCATTCAATCGAATTAAAAAGCGACCCAGCTAAATTATTTAGTTAAGACTCATAAGTAGCAAAACGGCCTAAAAACTAAAACAGCCAAACTTTTAATGAAAACGGCCTTAAACTAAAACCGCCCAAAAATATCAAAACGGCCATAAAATATCAAAACTGTCAATGAAATATTTGTTATTTATTATGAAACTACATAAATTTTGACCCAATGTTTGAGCGTTTTGACAGAAGTAACGATATCCCGTTTATATTGTCTGCAGAGCATGCAGCAGGTTGTGATTGATATTTCTTTTCAATTCACCATATTGTTTTGTAAATACTCAACTAATTGCGGAATGATTTTCCTTTCGGTGATTCAACCATATGATAGTTTGCAAGGAATTTAACATCCTTCAAATGACAGTCAGCTGTTTTAATTCTTTCGCAGATCTGTACAGCTACAATCTGATTTGATAAGTAATGAGAGAGAGAGAGAAATGGGGTTTAACGTCCACTCGACACAAACTAGGTCATTTCGGGACTAACATACGGTTTAATTTTATTTACATAATTCGCTTGCGCGTAGGGGTCTTTAGCAGTGGGAGGAAACCGGAGGACCCGGAGAAAACCCACGAGGTTGGACAGGCGACCCTACTCCTTGTCACGTACAACCGGGGATTCGAAACCACGCCAGTCGACTCAATGACAGACTTTATGATACAGCGCGCGCACGCTAACCACTCAGCCATCCAACCCCCCGATAAGTAATGAAAAATGAAATGAAATGAAATGAAATGGGGTTTAACGTCCTACTGTTTTACTCCTATACTGGGCTAATGAAGACGGGCATACGCCATACAGTGTGCTATGAGGAAAATTTTGCCCGGGCAGCGGAACTATCGCCTACTCTTATATCGAATTCCAACTGCCAAGGGATCTTTTACGTGCATTCCAATGTTTACACGGGGCCTCGGTTTTTCGTCTCATCCGAAGGACTAGACAGTTGTCCTTGTCAGGCCCAGGGGAAACCACGTCGGAAAATCGGGATGAACTTTCTCGGCCAATGCAGGGATCGAACACCCGACCTCCAGGACAGCGAGCCAACGCCTCAACAATATGCCAGTTGGCGGTGTAAAAAGTAAAGTGCATAGGCTATTCTTCGATGTTAGTAAGGGATTCGACTGTGTTTCGCACAAGTGCCTCATTTATTATAATCGGAAAGGGCTAAATTTACGAGCGTACTTCTAAATTACTTTAAAAACCCACCATCAGTCTCCTGATTTATGACATTTCTTTTGAATTTCACGTTAAAATATGAATATTATGGACATTCCTAATAAAAATACGGGGCATTTGGGGACAGTCAACTGGTACAACTTTTCGTTTTTATTTTTGGGCGGTGTCGCCAAGAACATAATAAAGAAAAGTGAATTTTTTTAACATTTTTCCTCAATTCTTCAGTCTTCAGCCATCTTGCGAGGCAACTCATCGCGTTTACGAGAACCAATTCGAATACCAACTCGAGTACAAAACGAGATAGGTAATCGAAACCGATTTGTTTTCTCGTAAAGAAACTACGCAAATGAAATAGGCTGCCAATCTGTTCGAAATGAAGACTTTAAAAATCAATCAGTAATTCGTGAAAACAACGAAACATGTATAAAACAACTACTATTACCAACTCAAGAAAACAAAACCTATTTATTATTAATGGAACAGATAGTAGACGGCATGGCTTCTATTAGGGGTTTAAGCAGTACTTGTAATGGACTGTCAATATTAATTATATCGTTACTAAAGTTATTAAATGTATACATGTATATTGTTTCGGAAGGTCCCTACAAATTATATATAAAGCATATGCATTACCCATATTCGATTAATGGTTACATAATCTTGAACAACTGAACTAATGGGGACAGTACTGTACTTACAATCTACACTTTCTATAAAAGATAGAAATACCCCCACACAGCAGCTTTGTCTCAACTGCAGCTTATCCGAAAGGAACACTTGGATGTGGAGCAACTTTGCAATAGGGATCTAGGATCCCGGAAGAAATCTAATCTCTAGATTTTTTCCTCTTATGAACCCATTGTTTGCATCCAAATTTGAGAAAAAATCTGTTAAAGCCTATATCTTCTATCGCGTTCACGCGATTTTCGTAAAGGGGAAAAAATTCAAGAACAGAAAGCCGCGGATGACACAAATACTTCAAATATGAAGACGATCCATTAAAAAAATGAAATTAAATGGGGTTTAATATCCTACTGTTCTGCCCCGACTTGGCTAAAGAAAATGTCCATACGTCATACAATGTGCTATGACGGAAATTTTGCCCGGACAGCGGCGCTACAGTCTACTCTTATTTTGAAATCCAACCGCCAAGAGCGCCTTTCCATCCCACTCCCACCCGAGATCGAACACGGGACCTCCGCTAGCAAACATCATACTCTGCACTATTCAACTTTCTCGGCCAACCCCGGGATCGAACACGGGGCCTCCAGGTTAGCTAGCAAACGTCTTATTCACTGATAGAGCCACCATTGCCCCCGTATCCAGTATCACGCTCACAATATTTTCCGAATAGGATGCATCCGCTCATGGCCATAATGCTACCATCCAAATTTGAAAAACATTCGTTACAAAGTACAGCCTCTATCGTGTTCACAAGGTTTTCGGCGTGGGGGGGGGGGCTCCGGAAGCTCACACGAAATTTTAAAAAAATCTAAAGAAACTTACAGCCTCTATCGCTTTCATAAGGTTTTCGGCAATGTGGAATAACTCCGGAACGAAAAGAAAGTCGTAGAACGCTGAACATCGATAGAGTTCGTCCTCTCATGACCACAGTGATCTACACCAAATTTGAACAGAATCCGTCGAAACTATAGCCTTTATGGCGTTCACAAGGTTTTCGGGGAGGGGGCATAACTCCTGAACGAAAAGTCCGCTTATGACCACGCCACAAGACTTGACACCAAATTTGAAACGAATCCGTTGAAAGTTCTTGTCTCCATCACGTTCACAAGGCAATTGTTGGCGGACCGACAGACAGGGTGACGATAAACGATGTCCACACTGAAATGTGGGCGTATAAAAATCCCTTTTCTATAAAAAAAAAACCAACTGTTATTAATTTACCTGAACTTAAAATCACCTCATCCCACTTCACGAATCTTTAAAGCACAATTAAGTAATGAAGATGTTTTACATACTAAACATTCCTACTCCGGAAAATGGTCATCTTAAATAATTCATACTGAACTGGGTCACAAGACTAGCTTATACTGCCATAAATTCACCATGCACAGAACGGTATATCAGAGGATATACACTGCTTGTGTAATTGTCCAAATTTGCTAATGCCAGGCTACAAACTATTAATAAACTACTAAATATTGTCTTCACTGATTTACAAACCCAACTGTGGTAGCTGTACGCAGTAAATAAATAAGCACATTTAAAGAATTTTTCTATTTTTATAAAAACCTCGAATAACCACTGTGAAATACTAGTCGGGTCTTAATTATAGTAGTGTCAACTGTGATAGCTGTACGCAGTAAATAGATAAGCACGTTTAAAGAATGTTTCCATTTATATACTAGTAGAGGCATCGAATAACCACTGTGAAATCCTAGTTGGGCTTTAATTGTAGTAATTATAGTAGTGTCAGTTATGATATAGAGCAGCAATTATACTGTCTAAGTTTCTATGCAGCTATAACGTCTTCAAATTTTGCATCATCCAAGTGTATCGCATTGAAAGTGGCACAATAAAAGAAATCTACTAACTTGCATGACTACCTAGAAAATATCAGTTATCATGTATGTGAAGTTTGTATTTTGTATTATTAAAAGTACAAGTATGCAGTTTTAATATTTGATTAAGAAAACCAGATATAGTTTTATTTGTTTTTTAAAGTAAAGGATTTTTTTTTCGTATTCTACAAAAGGTAGCCAAATGACGTTAATATACGTCCATTGAGGTAGTCTATCAACAGAATGCCCGTCAAAGCAATACCATTAAAACCTTTCGAAAGTGCCTTGCGAAAAAACTGTTAAAGGTCAAGTTCTTGTGAACGTTGTATTTGCTTGCCCCAACGCCTGGCGTTCAGACAAACAGTCACACCGTTCACATAAACATGCCTTTTATGAGCATGCATTAAGAGTCACGTGCCCACTTTCAAAGACGACCTAAGACGCCATTGTACGTATTTTGATGTAAGAAATTAAATACATCTCTGAATCACTAATCAGTGTACATTGGTGAATTTCAGCATAGACACTTTGTTAACGGTAAGTTTTGCAATATAAAATTTAGTTTTATTTTCCTCTTTGAGTTTTTTAATCTACAGTAAACCATTTCAACCGTTACCGTCTCTTGGGTCTTGGCGTCTCAAAGAGTAAGACATCTGTAACTGAAGGCAATTTTTCTTTAGTTATGTATTTTATTGTATGAATACAGGAAAGCGAACATTTTTAAGTGTGTTAGAACAAGTGGGCCTAATTTCAAAACATCCTTAAAGAAACGGGGAAGCTGTAGGTAGGCTATAACCTATATAAGGATGGCCACATAGTCATCTCCCTTCTAGAACTTCTAGTTTTACGACACGCGAGTTCTTTTTCGAACACCACGTGTTCAGAAGAGGAACACCTCGCGTTCAGAAGAAGAACACAAACTGTTTGTTGTTTCAACTTTTTAGTTTACCCCCCCCCCCCTCAACAAACACACACACGTTATTTGCAGTCATCAGTAATGAGTATTTAGTATTGATGCATTTGGTCATTTTTTAGCGGTAGAGTCCTACTATTACAGTATTATGTTTAGCCTGTTCCCGTACGTAACTAACGTACGAAAATTAAATGGTAGCTGGCTTTTTTTTTCGCAGGTAGCGTGTCTCTGATGTTCAGAATGGCCTGTTCCATCACCGCCCATGAAGAAGATTAACACTGAAGAATTTTGTAAGGGGTAGATGAAAAGAAACAACACAATTTCCGAATCCGGTGCGCTTTAAGCTTCTACTAAATAAAACTGGTAAAGTATTTCTGTACATCAGTGTTTCTATGCCTGCAGAAAATTTCGTTTACAGCTCTTTTAGTTCAATGTACTGATTCAATGACACTTTGAATTCATTTTTTAAAAAGTATTTACAGTTATATTTCGAATCACGTTTTTCAGATGTAAGGTGATTGGCGGGCCTTTTTGTCATCAACTTTATTGAGAGCGAAACTCAAAACGATGCGTTGAAAAAAGAATCCATTGGCATTGTACAAGTAACTGGTGTAAGTTTAGTTTAATTCTTGATGTACTGACAAAATTCATTTTCCGTACAGTATTTTCAAATTACTGTTTGACCAGCAATCCGGAACGGATATTAACATTGCGTTGCGGTACAAACTAAGAAATATGGGGCCTTGACAGTCCAGGGAACTTCTGGCTTAGTCAGTATTAAAATACTCGGACAAAACAAGGTAAAAGAAAAAAATAGAACATTTTAAAAAAATAGAAACTCGTTTGTTTAAGAATGTTTATCCAAGAAATAAGACCTTAATACAAAGTTTTCAGGTTTTTTTTTAACTTAATAATAAAAAATAAATTTATTATATTTTTGTATAGCGGGAGGTCTTCTGGCAGCGCGGATGGAGATCGTGGTCAATGGCTCCCTTTGCTCCCCCCACCCTCCAACCTCTCTAAATAGAAGTAGTATCAGAACCGCATTGATTTTCATCTAAGTTGCGTTTCATCAATAATTAATCTGGTCTAAACCACGCGAAAATCATTGTCGCAACGTACCTCATACAAAATATTACCAATGGCCAGTGTTCACTGTGTGCGACAGCTACACGGAGCTGGGCACACTACTGGTTGTGCCATGTCGTTCTAAAGTGCACAGCTTCATTTGGTTGTCGATGTTGCTGTTGCTCTGGGTGGATCCGGGCCTGTAGCCACGGGGGGCTATCCCCCCCCCCCTCAAAAAAAAAATCGAATTAGTCCCCCCCCCCCAATATTTTGCCAACAATAATGATTTCTTAGGAGCGTTCTTAGGCGGCCACATCCTCAGTCCCTTCAAAAAAATCCGTAGCCCCACAAAATTTTAAGAGCTGGCTACGGGCGCGGTGGATACCTGCCTTAACTGTCAGCCACAGAGCAGTGTATGTTGTTTTTTTTATTTAGACTTTCGTTTTTCCTAATTTCAGGAATATGACAGTTCAGAAATTGAGAGAGGTCACTCATTTATAAGGGGGAACAGCTACATTTACAAGTACCTAGACTAATAACGGAAAATACCTTCTGTGGGATTTTTATTTGCGATGATAACATGTAAAATAAACTGTTTGGGGGCAATTGGAGGACACGGGGGGGGGGGGGGATATTGTTGAATAAAACCTTTTTTTTCTCTTTTTTGCCCAGATAATATTTTGTAAGATATAGAAATCGACTATTTTTCTTGCGTTAATTATGGTTTTATATAACAGTAATTAATCCAGTAGAATGAAACTGAACACTTAGTGTTAGTAAACCGCAAATGGACGCGTTATAGTGTTCAAAATCTGTTTCATTTTTGTGTTTATTGCGGAACGAGTCCAGTGCTCGGATTTGAACACTCAATTACTTGGTTTAAGAACATTATGTGTTCTTTGCTGAGCGCCAGGCGTATAAATCTGTTCGGATCTGAACGCTTGGTATTACTTTGTTAAGAATATTATGTGTTCTGTGCTGAACGGCAGACGTATCAATCTATTCGGATTTGAACGTTTAGTATTACTTTGTTAAGAACATTATGTGTTCAGTGCTGAACGGCAGACGTACACATCTGTTAGGATTTGAACCTTTAGTATTGCATTGTAAAGAACATTATGTGTTCTGTGTTGAATGCCAGACGTATAAATCTGAATACCCATCCAGTTGGACGCTTTCAAAATCTGTTTCATTTTACCGTTCTGTAAAGGCGTCCGTGGCCGTCCGTGGGTTTAGAGTACATGTCACGTTATATACTAGTTATACGAGATAAACTTGTAGCAGAGTTCACTTAAAATATATCAACCAGTATTGCAAAAACGTAAAAAAAAATAAAAAAAAATAACTGGATGTCCTATCTGCACATGTACTTACATCCCTGGTTGAAATGAATACACTGCAATTGTAATGTATGGAACATACAATCTCCTTAATGTACATGACCCACCTAATATTTACTTAAGAATAAAGAAAAACTTAAAACATGAACCATATCCCCGCCTAAGCAGCCTGAACGAATGTATTAGAAGCCCTGAACATTTTTTTGTTAAATAAAAAATACAAACATGAATGTGAATGCAAACGAAATAATACTCTATATTCAGAAAGTGAAACACACATGGCTGTCAATTACCGTTTATTTAAATACAGTATATATAACAGAATGTCGGAGGTAAAAAGGGTTATTTTTATCTTACCTGTTGCGATATAGTTATTTGCTTGACCCACTTCGAATTATCCTGTTGATAAAATTGACATTTGGCCAGCAAAAGGATATAGTATCTACTCTTAATTAAACACAGTGTATATGTTTGGGGATTCTTAAATTCTGTCTCAAATATCCATCATGTTGGAAGCAGACGTTAAACACAAATCAGCCAACAGTACAGGCTTAGCTGGACACTCGGCAAACCTCGGCAGATTTCATTAATCTGCATCTAGCCTCGGCTATATGACGATAAGTGATATGTACCTACGCCTATACAATTGCGACGCGGCAACGGTTTACTTAATAGGAAAATTTGCCGCTTTTAAAAAGAAGTTATCAAAATTGCGTCGTTCGAAGCGTGTGTAGAATTTTCAGTGCAAAGTTTTCCTTGTTTGAAGAAAATCGGATAAACTTGAAAGAAAAACAGCTTCAGACTTCAAAATATTTGTATGATAAAACTATCTCAAAGGCGTTGGTAATCCGGGAACTTGAAAGTAGTTCCAATGGCGTACTTCGTCATACAGCCGAGGCTAGATGTAGGGTACTGAAATCTGCTGAGGTTTGCCGAGTGTTGGCTGGAATGTCCTGTATTTACGCTTAATAATCTCCGGCCACTAGATCTGTAACCCGTTTATCTCCCATTATCACGTTTGATAAGGTCGAGCGTGTTAATTAATGATAAATAGAAGACAATGCGCTTGTTAAAGGGATAATGCGATGTTACACCTGTCATGGTTGGCTAGGTTTATCAAATAACAGTTTGTCTAGACTATTATGTACAGCCATGGGCTTTATAATACAAATTTTAGGGGTGTTCCCACTTAGCCGGCAGGCTTTGATGTCAAATTTTGCCGCTAATCCAGAGCTAATCCTAGAACAATGGTGTTATAAACTATAGTCCATATCTTTTTTAAGACTAAAACTGTATTGATTTTAACAAATTTAACTTTTATTAAATAACATTAAATAGCTTACACATATAAAAATATATTGATTTTAACAAATTTAATATTTATTAAATAACATTAAATGGTTTACACATATAAAAATGCATTACAATTTACACTAACTTTTATTAAATAGCATTATATAATTTATAAATAAATGCCTTACAACATAACAATAATTTAACAGCCCCACTAAATAGGAAATATTTGTTCCATACCGATTTACACTTAAAGAGCCATTTAATAACTGTGTTTTCAAATGTTCAATTCTTGTATAGAGTTGTCGATATTTCTTAACTCGAGGGCTTTTGGTACCACCAAATAATATCTGTGAAATGGTGATTTCGACATAGGATTGTTCATGTTTTATTAAGTTAATGAACTTGTAAATATTAGGATGGCATACTGTCATTTTATTCAACTTAGAGGGATTTAGAGCTTATTAACGCTGAACACTAGTGAACAGTTCTTGAGTGACTACTTTTAAACAGACTATAGTTTTAAGATCAATCAAAGGATTAACAGTCTGCCGGCTAAGTGGGAACACACCAAATTTTAACATGGACGGGAAATCTTCCTTTCTTCTTATCGTTGAATAAGCAGATTGTTTTCCCTCTTAGATTAGGTGGACTTAACGGTGCAATAACTAGACATGTTCAATGTTATTGCACTCTTTTGCTGGTTTACACTAGTTTTAGTAGAAATCATATAGAGAAGTTTAAACCTGTTAATTCATGAAAGCCATGCTATAAATATATATATATTAGGTCCATGGTTCAGCAATAGAGACTTTTGACAAGCATAAATTCCCGGTTCGTATTGCGTATTCTTATCGACTTTGCCTGTGCCGTCATCAATGTGTGTGTATTTCTCATACGTGATACGGCACACAGACACGACAGCACGTATCGAACAGCTTTCATACGGAAAAGGTCCATATACATCGTCGCCTTTTTGCCGTCTTTTTTTCTACTTTTAGAATGTGTATCCTAGAACACGAAGGTGTATATTTGATGTGATTTTAACCATGATAAAAACTGGAATTTAATCAATATTTTTGATGAGTTTTTCTCGGAATTTTCATATTTGTCATGTCTGTCTGCATGCTGGTTGATCTACGCTTTAGGGAGGCGGGACCTTGCAAATCTGTAAATGATGTGATTTTATGGTAAAGGGGTATAAACTTTCTGAAATGATACATTAGTGAAACCAAGCATTGCTGCTGAATCGAAGTCGGAGATTTTTTTAATAAGATTCGACAAATTTTTTTTAATAGCTCAGTGACTGTCGAGACTAATTTGTAGACTAGGCACTTGACTAGTACTGATGGTAGATAACTGAGATCATGCTGTAATAGAACTACGCTCAAATCAGCTACTCGATTACGTACGCGGCGAGAAAATCTGCCAAAACTTTAAAATTACATTGACGAACGTATCACGTGATATGGATGGGGAAAATTCCCCTTGCCAAAAGTCTCTATTGTCATTTTACGGGTCCTTATAAACCTATAACGCTAAATCTCTTTGATCGTTGGGGTATATTCTATGCCCGGAATAACTTGTGGTCTGAAAGTCCAGGGCGGCTTTGAAAATATACAGGGGAATTAGGGACTATTCCTCTGCGCGAGTGATGTGATGCGGCAAGAACGGACCGCAAGCAGTTCGAAAGGGGGTCGCCCAGTGAACAAACCTCAACATGTTCTGGCCATTGTCCACACTAAGGGTAAGGACTGCTAAATTTAGAATGTTAGAGTGACCTAGTGCATCTCTCTGAATCTAAATGGCATTCGGGCCAGGGCGACCGAACTACGTCACCACCTTAGCAAGACCAAAGCCCTGTATAGGGAAAGTTACAACTCATTTACAGGCGCCATTTTGGGTCCCAACTATGACGCCATAAAAACTACCACGTTATGGGGTCATATAGCTTTACTTAACAAAATGTTTTATTTTTTCTTGGTATAACGCTTTACGGGCTACAATTTATCCTAAACAAATTGCAAAAGAAACCAATGCAGTTTGGTTCAATGATAAATATGTCAGACAAAATCATACTCAAAATCGGCCAAGGCAAAATGACATTATTAACAGAATTCAATTTGGCGTTCTTCAGGAATTATCTGAGGGCGATATCTCGTAATCAGTGTCTTTAAGTGGTGGGAGGATAAATAATTTATTTTTAAATTCCTCAAACACAGAGAGATTATGCAAGCGAGATGTGTTGAAAAATCGAATTTGACAAACATCAATTGAAAAATGTATTTGTCATTTGGTGGCGGGCATTTCTTTCAAAATAACTGCCAAATTTGGTAATAGAAGAAAAACCCAAAAAACAAAAAAACAACAACATTAATTTGGTAATAATAGGGCAGAGATAATCTCAAAAATTTAATTTCGAGAATTCTTGATGATAGAAATTCAAAATGGCCGGCAAAATGAAATCCAAAATGGTGAAATTTTAATTAATCGTCATTTCTTTCCGTTCGGTATGACTTGTAATATGTGGTATATTGATCCCGGAATGGCTTGGTTGCTCTTAAATGAATATACTGTTAACGCGCTTTTAACATCTAGATGCAATAGACTTGGTGTAGAAAATTCTAGGTACATTGAAATGTTGGCAATAAAGATAATATCATTGTTTTTAGTTACACATTGTTAACCAACCACCCATAGATCTTTAATGACAATAAATCATAAACTCCTTTTTTAACTTGATTGTAGTATGCATATATCGAACCTTTCGGTTGAAACATATCATTAAAGTTTCTTATTTGATAGTTTTACGTATTTGTCGACATTAAGGATACTTGTTCTATTGTTCCATTTAGCCCATGAATTTATTTGTTTCACTTGACTAAAAACATTTTGTAGGAATCTAGGCATTTATAGATTGAACAAAAAGCTGTAAATGTTGAGATGTATGGAAATTGTAACA